ACACCATTGCGCACCATATAAAAATTTAAAACAAAAATAGTATTTTCAAGAATTTAAAATGACCAAATTACCCCCATTATTTTTAGGGATGTTTTGGTCATCTCAAATTTTGCAAAATATTGGTTTTATAATTTTTCTTGCGTGCCCTAGTTTTTTTACACATGCCCAAAATCTCATCTTAATCTAATTTGAAAAAAAAGATTAAAACTCAAGCAATGACATGTTATTCAACTATCCCATCAAGGTCTAATGATTGGGGTTCCACCTATTTTACCATTCATTATAGTTGCGCTACGTTTTTGAGCGTTTTCCAAATATATATAATAGGTCTAAGAAGGATGAGAACATTAAACTTTCCCTTAACCCATCCCAAGTTTGGGTAAAACTGCTGTTAGGTAGGCAGCTAAGACAGAATTTTGCCAAAACTTTCTATGGATCCTGAACCTAGCGAACCAAGATTCATGTAGTCGACCTCAAATAATTGCGAAAAGGCTCTGCTGAGGATGAAACAATTTTCAAAAAACTATGTTAGGATATACACTCTTTTCATTCTATTTAACAATCATGAAAACACAACATTTGAAAACACATAATAGAACGTGTTTCTTAGCCCAATTAATGTGGGCCATCCATTTTAGTGAAATACTTACATCTAGGCCTTAGAAGGACCTTTTTTTCCTTTTCAATTTTTTTATACAGCTTTATTATCATAACATTAAAATTGTTAAAAAAGAAAAAGTTTTCAGTTCTTAAAGACCTAGATTTTGAAAATCCACCAAATGGATGGTCTAGATTCATTGTTGGGACTCGTTTCGACCATATCTAGGGTAAATTGAAATTTTTTTTTTTTGGTGGATTATCTATTGGAAAAGTGTGTGCAAAATTTGGGTCGATATAAATGTCACAACATGGTTTTGGTTTTAGAAGTATGGTTTCATTATATTATCACATTGACATAGTTACATGTATTATCATTTATATGAATGTATATGAATATACATGTATGTATGTATTATAATTTATACCCTCCATGCTATATTCATAAATGTATGTTTTGGCCTCAAAACCGAGGTGCTCCCAAACGAACATATATTGTCATTTATATCCTGCATACTATACATGTATATATGTATATCAATTGTACTCTTACTTTATGGTTAAAGTGCGTATATTACCCACCTTTTCACTAAAAGCAATATCTTTATAGTAAAACAACTCATTTTGACCTCAACCATTGTATTTCAAAGCATTGTTTATTGTGATAAAACTGATAAAGAAGTATTACGTTACGATTAGTGGTTTCTTTCTCCCTGTAAACTGGCTTGGTTCAAAATATGATGTGAAAAGCTTCCTCTTTGAATGAAGTATGATCATCTACTGTATATTCTTGGATGACGAATTATTGTGCCTACATTTACTTGCAGGTGAACTTCCTAACCAAACTAGTTGCATTGAAACCGGGGGTTACTGTGAGAAAGATGCTAAAGGAGGTGCTTGAAGGAAAAAATGAAGGTGCAGACCACACAAATGAAGATACAGATGGTGACAGCAGTGGGCAACGTATGTCGAGTGGAATTTTTCATGGGGTCAGTTATTTCTTTCAATACCTAGCATTGCATAGTTTCAAGTGCATAAGGTCATCGCCTATTAAATCACTGTGTTCTATAGGAAAGTATGACAGGCCGTAAACCACGTCCTGTACGCCCAGGGATGTTGCTAGAAACTGTTACAAAGGTAACTCTCTCTCTCTCTACACACGTGCAGAAATGCCTTGCCGCCTTTGTTTCTTAGTTTCCCTGCCTAGTTTGAGGCTTTTTTCTTGCTTTCTAGGTCCTGGGTGGTATATACACGTCAAATGCACCTGGTATTACAGCCCAACATTTGGAATGGGTTAGTTGTTCCCTAAATTCTGGCTTATAAGTGTCCGCTTCTTCTAAATAAAGTCTTAAACTCATGCTGTTCTACTTTCAGGTTCATCAACAGACTCTTCAAATTCTCCAAGAACTTGCTTTCTAGATTGACATGAGTTTTACCGTGATACAAAGCTCTTCCTGGCCCAATGTTAGTGCAAAAAATTTGAATCCTATTTCCCTACAAGGTCATAAGCTGTATACTTTGTCCTGCTGAGCAGCACCGTCTACTGGGTAAGGAACACATCTTCTTGGGCCTCTATGTCAATGGTTTAGGGTCCAAATTCTTTTTTGTTCTAGCTATATAAATAAATAAAGATCATCCTGAGGAAAGAATGAAAAGAACACGACCAGGTTCTGCATCTAGATGATAGTGGCAATTGCAAGTGCTTCTGGCAATTATGAATCTTCCTTTAGGATGCTTAATTCTGTTGTGTAGGAAGATTGCTGAGAACCCCATCTAGGCATGCTGATAGTCTGTTGCACCCATAAAACAATGATTTCCTCAGACATTTTATTTCTTTTGCAATCTCACTGTTTACCACAATTTTGTGGGCTTCTTTACCTTTCTGTGTGTTAGGTTTAACTGTTTGTCCTGTCGGTAAACCATTAGGATTGAGATTCTGCTGGACTGTTGCTGAGGACGCACCATGAAAGGGAAGATTTTGCTGGTATTCATGATCTTCTTGTTAAAAGAGCATGTCTTCCAGGCTGCGATGCCATGAGTCAGCTTTGGTTATGGTTTATTTAAAAGATCAATATAATCCAGGACAGTTTTAATCTCTCTCTATATGTAGATATATATTTGTGGTACTGTCGGCTAATGTCAAAATGAATTCTGCTGGAATTTAAACTGTTTTTAGTGCAAGTAGACCTGGGGACTTCTTCTAAGAGAATAATTACATTGGCACCATCTGAGACTACCAATAAATCCTCATGCCGAATGGGACCTAAAAACTCAACTGCATGCCCATCATTTTGAATCTTGAAATGTTACCCTAAATTGGAAATTTAGGAGCTTGAGATTGTGAGAGCTAGCTTGGCTCTTGCATCATTTCTTCAAGGATGCAATTTCTATGAGGCCTAAGCTTTATAAAAACAAAGTAGAGTCTCACCTTGAATCCTTGTGCGAGAAACATTTTGGGCATCGGAAATTTCAATAATGGCTCTAAAATCCTTTTCTAGCATCGAGTATGAAATTTGAAGTTCAAAAAATTGTATATATCGAACACTTATTTTTAGCAAAAAATAAATGGTTGAGATATAATGTGTTACATTTTACATTATTTTTAGGGATTGGAATTCAAATTTTTTTCACAACCATAATGGTTAAGGTCGAGATGATTGATTTGAAGGTTTTTGGATGTCAGAACCATAATTTTCGGTGAATTTTAAGGTGAGGCTTTACGTATTTTAGGTCAGCAACTCTACCAAAACATTTTCCTTTCCAATATATTAATCTAGGAATTCTCCCTCAAACAAAGCAAAGTATCACCACCCTTAAGAATATATTATACAATAATAAATCCCATCATACTAACAAAATCCCATTGTATTTTCAACAAACAAAAGTCCTAAAATGCGAACTTCTGCCCTGTCGCTAGCAACAATTTTAAATTGGAAACCTCCTAGGAACAGTCGCATACTGGAAGAAAAAAATAGTTAAGAAATATGTTCCTTGATAAATTTGGAAGGTCATGCTCCCTACTATAAATCTTGGCGGCTTGCAAAAGAAAGGAATAAGCGGGTGAAAGATATATGAAAGCCATCCACTCAAGCGATAATGAGAGATGAATCCCCAATACTCACAGGCAACTCCAAAAGAATGACAATGAAATTCTTATCTACTAGGGATGGGAGTTCCCGAAAGAGAACAACTCCCACGCCTAGGAGCGATAAGAGCACTTTGCATCTACCTTTTTTGTTTTGTTTTGGTAGTTAAGTAGTAGGAATCGAACTTGGAGCTATTACAAATGAATGTCAACTTCTAACCATTCAAGCCAAGCCCAAGCCCAAGCCTAAGCCTAAGCCTGAATTCCTAGCTGTGCATATGCACTTTGTACTTATTCGACACATTAATACAATGGAAGGGATACCTACACAAGCTCCTCACTTCGATTTGAAATTTAGAAATAATAATATCGCGGAAAGGAAATATTGAAAACAAAATTGGATATTACTTGTTCAGGAAGATATATTTCTGATGCCCAATAATCATATATTTCTGATATACAGTTCACTAAATATTGCGTTCTCATGTCATGTATATTAAAACCAGGCTTTACACCTGTCATTTCATACCTCTTGTAATTGACTTTGGAACTCAAATGTACAAGTTCTGTTCAATGTTTTTTTTCATCTGTTAAGTCCCCTTCAGGTTTTAGAGAAAATACGGGTCCCTTTATTCTAGGAATTTTAGGAGGAAAGAAACAATTTTTTAGTGCTTCCTGAAATGAAACTTGGGTCTTTATTGTGTAAGAAAAAAGGTGAGATTGAGCAGAAGGCCACTACTAAGATTTAGCATTATAAATATTGGGATGTTTAGGCTGGATGGATGCTGGAAAGAGGTCTTGGAAATTTAAGGGAAAAGCTAACCATGTGGATTGTTGAAACTACTTTCCAAATATAGAGGGTTCCTTCTGTATACCCACTTGGACTGATCATCCATCAAAATGGTAAATCAAGGCTTCAGATTTCTTCCAAGCACAAACCAAACTCGCACTCTTCCATTCAGATTCATGTGTAAAAACATGAATCTTGTGCGTTTTTAAAAGAATTATTCACAACAAGATTTTGAATAGTTTTGGTTATTTAGTTCAAAGATCTCTACTAGTTTCTAATTGACAAGTGTTTCTCTAAGTTATAGTGGATATAGATGTTATTTGTGAAATTCCCGAGTTGCAGTCCAAGATCCTTTATGTGATCAGAGCTTCTACATTGATCTCAATATTGGGTTTAGCAACCCAACGGAAAAACACTTGCATGTTTATCTCATTTGTCAAGATCATCTCTTCTTGTCGTGCCTTTTATCATGGAGTCGAAACCTTACTGGGACTAGATCTCCACATGGTATCATATGTAGTAATTCATTCCCACTTGCAACAAGTTCTTGTGAGGTATTTGCAGTGCAACAAGTCCTTGCCTTGAATTTCTCCTCAAGAAGTCATACACATAATCTACCACCATCTTCTTCACCAACCCTGATTCCTTGCTTGCCCTCACCTCGCTATGCCCCAATAGATACACCACACCTGACTCCCTTGATCTCTCCAAGAACCTTATTTCCTCCTCTGCATCTTCCTCTCTTATAATCTCATTGCTCCTCTCCTCACAATTGTCCTCCCCACCCTCTGTACTCTGAGTGTTACCACATTGGGTTTTTGGAACAACGTGATCTATAGCAAGCTCTCCTATTGAAACCTCAACTTCATTACGCTCGCTTACTTGACCATCAATATCAGCCTTCTCCCATCCCTCGGTCCTGATGAACGCCTTCAGGTGGTCCATCAGAAATCTCTCAAACTCCTGATTCCCCACCCTCCGGTCCCTATACCCATACCTAGCGATGCACCTGTACATGTTGCAGGCCTTGGGCCCAACTCTGCGAAACAGGAACCTCTCACTAACAGGTACCTTGTTGATAGGCAGGTATTTCACTGAGACGAGAACGACAACAGAGTGCATGGCAGGAAGGTTGGTGAGGAAGTGTGAGAAAATTGAAGGAACACCATGTGTAAGCTCTGTATAAAGGAGGCCAATTCCTGGAACTCGAGTCAACCCAGGATTTGTGGTCATTTGCTCTGCCGAGAGCTTATGTTCGAACTCATAAGCATAACGCTTTGTTTGTACATAGTACCAAACATACATCACCAAGAAGAGGGCAGCTGCAAAGCTAAGGGGAAGGTATCCACCCTTATCAAACTTGTAGAGGACTGATGAGAAATAGATCAATTCTAAGGAGCCAAAGATGGCCACAAAGAGAGCCACAAGGATGAGACTGGTCTGCCAGACCATGAGCATGATGAGGGTGAGTAGAGCAGTGGTGACAAGCATCACGGCGACCACTGCTATGCCATAAGCATTTCCAATGTTGGCTGTATCTTTGAAGGAGGCGGTGACCATTACACAGGCTAGCATTAGGAGGAAGTTGATTTCGGGAATGTAGACTTGGCCCTCATGTGATCGGGACGTGTGGACAATTCTCACTCGAGGGAAGCACCCAAGTGCCATTGACTGCTTTATGATTGCAAAGGTTGCAGAGATCATCGCTTGGCTTGCAATTATTGACGCAAGAACCGCAACCACAAACATGGGCCAGTAAACGCTATCTATGCATCAGCATTGTCATCAGTATGAGCACTTCCAAATTCAAAATATGCTTAGTTAATTTTGGGAGAAAGGAAATATGATGTGGATCATTTTCTTTTACTTTAGCATATCTATTTACCTGGTGTGGATTTATAGAAAGCATCGCCTATATGATCAGGGCGATGTGAGAGATAGGCGGCTTGCCCAACATAAGCGCAGATAAGGCAGGGATACACCAGTCCAGCGAAAGCAATCTGGGAAGCACCACCTCTGTCAGTGCAAGTTCTTCTTGTGTTTGGAACTTACAAGAGTGAAAGGAAGGAAGATGGCCACAACTATGTTACCTGGATGGACCTAACAGAGAAATGACCCAAATCTGCAAACATGGCCTCGGTTCCTGTTTCACCAGCAAACCATGTTACACCACTGCCATCAACATGGTAAGGGAAAGGGGAAAGAAAAACCAGGCAGATTGTCCTTGAGTAAGAAGCAATGGAAGCTTTAGTAGTAGTACCAGTCATACATAGCACAATGCCTCCAAGTGAAATCCATGCTTGTTTCGGGTTGCTGCTTGCGCTGGTGAAGTATTGAAGGATGCACAGGGGATTGAATGCCTTGAGGACAGTGAAATCATGATGGAGAATATTATAGACGCCAATGACAGTGATGAATGAGTACCATACTAGTATGGCCGGGGCAAATGTGTATCCGACCTTGTCTGAGCCTAACCTTTGGACTGAGAAAAGCACCACCAATATGGCCACAGATAGCGTCACTACCGCCTCTGCACAAAAAAAATAAACTTACCACCATGAATATTCATATTGCGCCACTACTAGGCGGTAGTCACCACAATTCAGTGGGTTGTTTCTTGAAAAATGAAAAAAACATTATTTGAGTGCATGCATTGTGACCATTGGCATTGTTATTGTACCTTGGCTAATGGAGGCGTCCATTTTCTTCACCCCTTCCACTGCTGATAGAACTGTAAAGAGACATGAATGTGGTTTAGTAGAAAATGGATACTATATTTAAAATAAAATAGCCAAACAGGAAGAGGCTCAGACAAAATCATTAGTTTCAATAGGAGTCTACAAGAGTAATGCTCCTCAAAGTCTAGGAATTTAACATTTATACATATTTCCCAAAGGAGAAGTATTCTATGCTCGGAACCGGTGTATTGTTGGGTACTTCGGTACAGTATCCATTGTCTATGTTTATCGACAGACAGTGGGTAATGATTTATTGCGACCTTGTTTTTCAACAGTGGATAAGCACAGATGGTGGATGTTGTATATGAACCCGTCTGCCAAATTTGCATTCCACCCTTGAATTTACTCATGTTTAGTGCAGTGGTTCTAAATGGTACACATTATTGCTCAAAACATCAACTGAGGCGGCCTAATCTCTTATTTCCATAGTTCAAGGTGGGGATAGTATTGGAGGTTACAGTTCACAGTGGGAACATTTTGATTGCTTGGAAGACGGCAATACATTAGGCCGACTCAACTGCAGAAATGCGCACAAACACAAACTTACATGGTATATCATAAAAGGCGAGAAAGACTTAGTTGTATGAGAAGATATTTCACGGGCCAGATTTATGTTGTACGGTATATAATGGTAGGGCTACTAAAGCATTCAAGTTGACCTGACCCGTCTGAGTTCTCAATTTTGGATCCGGTGGATCAACTTGGGCGCAACAAATTTAGCCCGGGTTGATTCCAGGTCTATTCTTGACCTGTACTTGTGCGTGTTGTACATTTTTCATGCAATGCAAAGCTATTAATCTCAACTGTCTGATCTTGATCAGACAATTGACATCACATACAATTTTTCAGTTTTAATTTTTTACAAATTCAATCAATTTGAAAATTTGGGTGTATGTACTCCAAAAAAAGGCACATTTGTTAAAAGAGTAATGATCCTATGAGACCCTCCCACACCCATGTGTGTAGGACCCCAAAGGATCACCATTAAATTTGACACATAACTCTATAAAAGTTACCACATGGGTGTGGGACTTGATTTTTCTAGACATCTGTGCCAAATTTAATCGTGATCCTTTGGGGTCCTACACACATAGGTGTGAGAGGGTCTCACAAGGTCATTTAAGTTAGAGTGCAGGTACGTGGAGAAGTAAGGTGCATCTTCAAATTTTATCATGGTATATAATTTTGATGTAAAATATTCTTAGGATTGTCTCAAAATCTATTTTTATAACTAATTATAAAATTTTAAATTTAAAAAATGGTTAAAATCAAATAGATAATAAACATATGAAAATCTTGAAAATGGACGGTGTAGATAATATGTTGTAAAATGCACTATTTCTGAGACTTAAAATCGTTTTATTTTTCATAGTCATATATCTTGATGTCGAGATAATCAATCAAAGGGTTTTTCAACATTAAAACTACTTTTTTGATGGATTTTGACGTGCATCCGTAGTTCTACATTATAAGGTAGCATCCTTATATAAACTTTTTCCTTTAAGTTATTGTAGATATTTTATGCCTTTGTTGCAATTGTGAATGCTCAAAAATTCAGTTTAATCCAGTTTATAAAAAATAAGATTAAAACATTGATACAGTTCAACCGTTCCACCAAGGATTGGACGGTTGAGTGTGTAACATGTTATCGTAGGGAAAATGGTATATGGTTTTGTAGGCTTTTCCTATATATAGACAGGGTTTGGGCCTTGGGCCTTGACGGTGGGGATCTAATCCTTGTAACCTTACTAGAGGTCACACCAACTTGTTTGTAGCCTTAAACACATGGGCTTCTTAGCTGGAGATCAGTTATCCCTAGGGCTAACCTCAGCCTCTACTACCCCGACAAATTGGGGTCGGTCGGGGCCTGGCCTTATATAAATTATTGAGAAAACCTTTTGTTGATGAGTAATACATAAATTTTTTTGAGTTGGGTCTAAGGCTGACCAATGCCAGCCCGCCCTGACCCACAAAATTTCAAGCCTACTGAGACCAGCCCAAGCCTCAACATATGGCCCAAACCTGGCTTGAAACAGGGCTCAGCCAGAGTTCACTTCCAACTGAAAATCAATAAATGGGACAGTAAGCATGAAGTATGTTTAACTCTCAATATAACTTCATCCTGGAAAAGGACTACAAATTTCCCTGTGGTCTACCCTAATGTACCATCACTAGAGCCATACGCGCTCTAATTGAACTTTCCCGGTCATCAATAATTCTGATGCATATGTGCGAAACCACTATTCCCTATTTTTGCAATATATTAATTACCTGGATTCCCTCACAAGAGGATGGTCCCCCACCCTCTATTTTGTCTATGATTTCTTGAAAGATTTCAAAGACCACTGACAATCGCTTTTTCCTCAAACTAACAATGACAGACTTTGACAGCATAGTTTCCTCATATATAGGAAGTTTCTCTAAAGTGCATGCATGTAGCGTGTATGAAGGGAAGGGACTCAAACGGGTCGATCCTGACCCGATTAGTTATAATTGGACTCAGACCTCACCCATCGGTTCGGTTGGATCTGGGTCAATAAATTAAAAATATAAACAATAGTATAGATTTTATGTTGTATTATTTAAAATAATGTAAATATATTTGCTCGGATATATATTGGATTGAGCCAAAAAGGTTTGGCTTGACCAAGGAGCAGGTGCGACCCAACTCGATCCGACCCAACCCATGCGGTCCAAAATATGGACCCAGAGCTGAACTAGTCGGGTCGACTTGTCAGGTCCCAAACCCATTCCTGCCCATCCTCAAACTCCAAAGTTCAGATTGGTAAATTAAGAAGAAGATGGAGGTTATTCTAGTCAATTTCAGAGAAGACATAACCCCGATCTTTTCATCCACTTTTTACTTGGGAAAATTACTTAAAACCCCCTTGCCCAAAGACATTTTAATACATTAAGAAAACCCGTTTTCTTTTGCACTTCCTCAAGTAAAAAATTCAATAAAATTATGACAAAAATGCCCCTCCTCTCTGTCTTCTGCCTATGTTTTCATATTGCCGGACCAACACTATGAAATCAATGTGTTGGACCGGTTTGACATATTTTGGTGTCGGTTCAACACATTTTGTTATGCTGGGTTTGACTAATTTTTTGGTTCGGCTACCAGATCGGCAACATAAAATCAATGCATCAGGTCCAACACTTTTTATGTGCAAGCCTGTCAAATGATTTTTTGCCGGATTGGCACGGACTCATTTTTTGGTAAGGCAAACAAAAAGAAAAATAAAATGGGGGTATTTTAATCCCAAAAAAAATACCTTTTGAATCCAGGGGGGGGGGGGGGTTGGTGTGTGTGTTTAGTGTTTTAAAAAGTTTTTGGAGGAGAGGATATCAAGAAAGTTGAGTCTATAAGGAGTTTTAATAATTTTCCCCATTTACTCCATTTCGTTGCGGGTCAACATTGGAGGCTCCTGCCACTGCATCTCTTTTTCTGGGCTTTCCAAGATATTTCCATCACTAGGGAAAACGCTGACAATGATACAGATAGCAAACTATTAGGAAACAAACTGCTATTCACCGTCCATACTCAACAATGGATGGTGGGGCACGAACCGTTCTTTAGCAGAAGTCTGCTAAGGTGGAGGACTGGCTCGTCTTGTCGAGTTCTTGTACTGGAACTGACGCGTAGGACATTGTTTTTATGGTACATATATTACAAGCTTTTACAGTCGCTAAACCCATTGCGTATATGATACGACTTCGTTTGGTTTGGTATATATCACATACTTATTGTGTACTGTATGGCCATAGCCCGATGCTAGGGTCTGGGAGGGGTGAGATAGAGGCGATCTTAACTTTTGGTTACCTATTGTGTACTGTATTTTTCGAAATATTGATGTCATCATTAGAATTTTTATTATTGTTCTTATAGGGAGGCCAAATTTTCCGTAGGAAACATACACAATCACGTACTCTCATAAAAGTATATAAAGAGAATATAAAGAAAGCATTTATGTTTTGGTACAAGGAGGCGACTCACAGTCTGTTCTGCTAGATTTTATATTGAGTGGTTTCATATTGAGTGGACGTAAGAGTGTTATTGATTCACTACAAAAAAAAAAAAAAAAAAAAAGATATCGGCGAAACACTTTATACTATCTAATTTCACATCTAAATGCTAGATGTAATTATAACTTTTTTGTAACAAAAATAAATGGTCTCTTAATATACAATCTCATAATTAATTTAAAAAAATCTAAATGAATGAAATAAACCTGAGATGCATGGAGTCAAAATGCCGTCTCCGATGACCATACACGTGCCGAAGAGGGCTATGCAGAGCAGCAATAACTTGGCAAATCCACTTCCCTCAATGGCCTCCTTAATCCTCTTGGCCCTCCCATTCATTCTCTTCTTGTGACCCTCCTTATAAGCCGTTATGTCCTCTGCTTGCTCATTTGTCGTCGCACTCACTCTACAATATCTACATATCAGTGAATACATAGCAAAAGTCCCACCTGCCGACAAAAACAACCACACAATTAAAATGATTTCTCCTCTCTCACTTTTTTCCTTTCATAAATCTTGAACCTATGAATCTTGAATCTACGTTATCTCTCTCTCACCATCTCCATTGTCATTGGCCCATAGCACTATGAAGATGTATTTGATGAGAGGGAAGAGAGTAAGGGAGTATATGATGAGGGAGAGCGCTCCAACTATATGTTCACGTGTGGGAGGAGATCTTGCTTCGGCGAAGGTGCTCTCGAACACGTACAGCGGCGAAGTCCCGATGTCTCCATACACCACTCCGATACTTTGGAAAGCCAGCTTCAACACCCCCATAATGGATAAAGCCTGAAACATTGATTCCATATAGCTCACAAAGAGAAAGCATTAAAAATCTCAGAATTAAAAAAAATGTAGAAAAAGAAAAGAAATAATACTCAAAAGGAAAAGGAAAATGAGATAAAAAACTCTTCAGGGAAAAATGGGAGAGTGGGTAACAAAAGTAACAGCAAGAAACATGGGAACTACTTAGAGAAATTAGCATTCACAAAGAAAACGAAACTTAGCAAGAAAGAGAAACATGGGCTCAAAATCCTTTCCCAGTTTTCCAATGGAATTCGAAATTTCAACAGCATAACTCGAGTAAAGAACATGGCACAGGGAGGGAGAGGGGGGAAGCAAAAGAAGAAAATGGAACACAGGATCTGTTACATACTTTGGAGACCGATAATCCAGATAAATTGTTAGCTTCTTTGTCCAAAGAATCAAGCCTCTTAAAGCCCTCTCGTCTGAGTCCGGTGGAGGAGGACTTGCTCTCGATTTGCATTTGAGACTCAGAAACAACAACTTCGTTGTTCTCTGCCATCTCGACTGTCACCACAGTTTGATGAGCTCCCACCTCCATTACCCTGCTCCTAGTAACCAAACAAGAAGAGTTGATGATGTTATCGTGAGCTCCCCCTTCGATGAAAGGGGGTTTATATAAGGGAGAGTGAGTCTGTTACCACTGGCGGTGCAATACACGAAATGGAAGGGACCACAAGTGCTTAATAACTCGGTCCTTCTTTGATTTGGCGAGTTAAAATCAAGGGAAATTTACGATATATAGTGTTATTTTTTACCGTCGTAGATATATGAGAAATTTACGTTTGTACATTTATTTTTACCAATATTACGGTCTGGTCCCAAAATATGCAGTTTCCAACGAGATTTCAAAGCACGACTTCTGGGTAAGACCTAAGACTTATGCAAACCTTTTCTATTAACTAATACGGTGGAGTTTGTATGAAGTTGTGGCCTCAAACAATCAATGACACACCCCAAGTAGTGTGGAAAATGGTGTTTTAGGGTCAAAAATCCATGTGACGGCCTAAAAAATTGTTTTCATATTATAAAATGCAGAGGGTTTCCAGGTTGCTTGTTGGAGGGATGGTGACGTGACCAAGCTCACAGAATGACAGCATGTCCGATCACAAAAAACACCTAATTTCAATTAATATCGCATTTTCACACTGCCAAGTGCCTAGTGGTTTCATCTTTATTGCTATATTTACTTTGAGAGAAATAAAAAAATAAAAAAAATATTGGTTCACTTATGCAAATTTAGAAGGGATTGTCTAGAGGGAAAAGTTTATATAAGATTGCAACCTTAAAATGTAAAAATCATAGATGCACCTCAAAAATCTATGGGAAATGTTGTTTTAGTGTTAAAAAAACCTTTTAAGCGATCATCTCAACATCGAGATGCATGAATATGAAAAAAAATGTTTTTGAGTCCTAAAAATAGTGTATCTTGCAATACATTATCTAGACTGTCTATTTTCAAGATTTTGATATATTTATAGATCTACTTGATTTTAACTATTTTTGAAATTTAAAAACTTCTAATTAGATATGAAAATAGATTTTAAGATAATAGTAAGTATTTTTACAACAAAATTAAATTTTATAATAAAATTTTAAGGTGTGCCTTAATTGGATTGTTTAAGGTTGCAACCTTATAGAAACCGCACCCTTGTCTAGAACGATATCATTTATCTTTTCTACAGGGATGTCATAATCATTTTTGTCTCTTAAATTTTAAAATGGATAGTTGTAAAAGTGTCATTGAATAGACACAAATTTTTTTTTAAAATTTTTTTTTCTCGAATTTCGTGACTCACCCCAAAACATCTAATGATTTGTGACACCCATGTATAAAAATTTTCGGACTTCGTAACTCGCCCTAAACCATCTAATTTAACATCTAAATATTGAGAATGATTGTGACCTCCATGTACAAAAAATAAATGATATCTTTGTAGACAATTCCTTTAGAAAAAATACTTTATATCATAATTATTGAGTCTGGACCGATTGGCTAGCTCGACCATTTGGTCTGCCAATAAGTTCCTTTATTGGTTTAGTTTAACCTCTAAAAGCAAAACTCGATGTCTAGGAAATTGATTAGAATCAATATATGATTGATTAGACAATGTTCTTAATATACGAAGGTCATGAATATAAAAAAATAAATAAATTTTAAAAATTAAAATTAATAATTATATTAACCAAATATTTGGACAGTTAGTTACAATTATTTTTAAATGGACCACCTATTTGCATCCATCTTAATTTACACCTCTAGACCGCATATTGTACAAATGTGGTCTCGGCCGCCTGAAACAATTGTTGACTTGACTTTTAAAATATGAGCGTATATTTTTAATTCTTAAATAAAATCATATGAATTTCCTTTAAATTTTTTTTTTTGGATTTTGTTTTGGTTTAAGGGAGGTCCGTTTAGCTTGTTTGGTTCACCCTCGTACATAATCGCGGACGGCTCCAATTGCATTCCGATTCACCCTCGTACATAATTCCCACGTGTCCAATTGCAGTGAGATGGAAAGTGAGACATGAGGCATGCCCCATCGTTTTTCACGTTTGCCTGTATTGCATGCGCAATCCCCCCGTCGTCTTCAAAATTGTGAAAAGATTCGCTGCTCATGCGGGAGTAAATGTGCATTTGCTCCCTCTCAGTAAAGCATATGTTAGGGATACTTTTTGGACCAAAAATTTTGGGATGTAGCTTCTAGAAGCTTAAAAACCAACTTCTAGAAAAGGAAAATGAAAATTAAAATAGAGCTCTCTGCTCAAAAAAATTAACATCGCAATATAAAAAACTGTTCAATTTTTAGATGGCAAGATACTCAAAATGCAAGTCTGTTCTTTAGGAGAATAATTGTATGATAATACTTGGATCCCTAAATTTTGCATTAAAAAAATCCTTCAAAATATGTATTGGGTGGACCTGGGCTAACTCCCAGTTTCGGTTAGAACCAGCCATTTTTTCCTACACTGATTGAGCAAAAAGGACAAAATATTTTATCTGGGCAATATACTTTTAAGATTTTATTTTTAAAAATAAAAACGAAATGAACTACGGCCTTTATATACTCAAATAAATCAGTTGACAATAAATGGCTGATATTGCAGTTTAGCATGATGAATGTATGTTACATGTAGCATGGCAGTAAGAGGAGACAACATTAATTGTCGTGTATATTGTTGCCGACATGGGTCGCAGGTGATACATGGTGGGAGCTCCCACTCAAATATCAATAGGCCGCCTCGCCTACACGTGGAAGACTTTATTTTTGTCCTTGGAGGATTCCAGACTTTATAAAGTTCAAAGAAAGGAGCAGAGAGAGAGGACATGGAAAACGAACAAGCTATTGCAGATATACCCTTAGATTCCTTTGGACATTTCATAGTTCTTTCTGGTTACCCTTTCCTTTACGGAAAAGTTTATATAGAGCCGAGGCTCTAAACAATCCAATTTGAGCCTACCCTAAAAATGTCACTAGAAGAGGTTGTTTTGATGCTCAAATGTCCTCAAATCGATCATCTGAACTTCAAGATGCATGGACATAAGAAAAAAATAGATTTCAAATTTTGGAAATAGCGTATCTTGTAACTATTTTTGGATTGTCAATTTTTAAGATTTTCAAGTTTTTATAGATCTGTTTGATCTATACTATTTTTTAGGCTTTAAATTTTGTAATTAGAGGTGAAATATATTTAAGGCTATCACAAAGATTTTCAATATTGAAACCACATTTCTCGACACTATTTAAAGGTAGGCTCTACTTTGATTGTTTAGAGCCTCGGCTCGATGCAAACCACACGCTTTTCTTTATGGCCCATTTTTCTTTATTTCCCATATAAAGTTTTTGTAACTTTTTTTTCTAAGCTGGAATTCATAACTCGAGAATTGAAGATTTCCATATTGTTCTTATTTATTTTACAAGATTAAGTTTTTATTTTTTTGAGAAAAAATAAATTTTTTTATATTATTCTAATTTTTAAAGGAGATATTGCATAGATCCTCGAACAGTCTTACAAGATTATTTAGTGAGATGATATCGTTTAAATTGCAGTATTTTTTTTTTAGTTTCATTTTAATTAGGTATCTTCTAAAAGAAAATTTATATATTTTTTAAATTGCCTTGACTTGTGATTGCAAACTAGGGACATCTTGGTAATTAGGACCCACTTACGTAGTTGGAGCAAATGAGGACAATAACTACGATTGTTTAAGTTAGAAAAACAGTACAAGATTCACAATATAAAAAACAAAAAGGGAAAAATATCTTAATAGACTCTATTTTTAAGTTTTATTTTTCCATTGAACAATGATACATATACGAGTGCTTCTTTTACAAGATCCACAACCCTTGGTGTTCTTGAAATCGCTTAGAAGCTGGAGTAGCCCTTAAGCGTCACCTATGTAGGTGAAGAACCATGATTTAGGGAGATGGTGTACCCATGTACCATTCTTTTCACTGAAATTTTGATTCAAGTGAGAATCTCCCTACTCTAGGGAAAAGAATGATGGAAAAAGAAGGTCTTCATGGGGCATCTGGTGGGTTCTGATTTGAGGGAGCACCAATATATGTGAGGGTATAGCACATGGAGGTTTGATATCCTTCGATCGCATGCTAAAGACTTAGAAGCCTGTGCTTTAGCAGCTGTTTGCCAGTGCTTAGCTAGTTACTATGACAATTGCTCAAATACAATCAGGGCCCTCTTGGAGACCCGGTGTCAGAAAAGCAACAACTAGCTCCTTGATAATGGCGAAGAGGGAATCACCCGCCTTGACATGTACTTCAATGGTGGTTTGCCCATGCTGGGGGCCATGTATGAAGAGTTCATCCCCCAGTAATGGAGTAAGTTTTGGAACTCAACCCATAAATGGCGACCCACCCCCTCCAAGTCTTGTGAGCTGTTTGAAATTTACTAACTCGTACTTTTAGAGACCAAGACCAAATCTAAGATAGTGCACTTCAATTCATGGATGGATTTCTTTCATGGGAACCGTCGGGACAAAGAGGAACCCAATTCCAATGCTGTCTGGGATGATGATGAACAAGAGGTGGAAGAAGTGACCAAGGATCCAGTGAACCCTCCCAAAAGACCTGAAAAGGATCATGTGTATTTGGCTGCATATCTCACTCCTTTTTTGTGCAAATTCGCATTCCCAAGGTCAAGTTGTAATGCCATCCGCCCTGGTTGCTTCTTTGTAGCTTGTAGGTTTTGGGTTACCCTCTCTTTTAGGAAACCCAACGTTTCAAAACCTATTTATTTTTATAGATATTCTATCTATTATATCTTCTAACCCCCTAAAACACGTTTACCTAATTTTATCCTTTTTTTTAACCCAAACAAATTTAAAAAATACATCATTTGCTAATCTCTTCTCTCTTGATATTTTTCTCTTTCCCCATGAATCGCTCAAACCCCTCTATCTCTCCATATTTATTCCGACTCTTTCTCTCTTTTCCTATCTCTATCCCAATTTTGAGAGAGAGAGAGGGCTTTGGGAGATTCATGAAGAGATAGAGAAACACTTGGAGAGAGAATGGGTTTAGAAAAAAAATTTATTTGGACTAAAGAGATGGATAAAAATAGATAAAATTAGTTTAAAAAGTTAAAAAAAACATAATATCTATACAACAAGATGATTTTGAAACCTTTGATCCATAAAAAAATGAAACCTAAAATATGGT